TCTGGGAGTTGAAGTCCACTCATCTTAAAGTGGCCAAGTTTGGACAACACTGAACTAAGCCTATCAGTTTGCACCTCGGGCCTCGTTTCTGGGATCTGCAATTGTGGGAAGCAGAAGATACAACCTGAAATGAAGAGGTTGACCTGATCCATCTTGGCAAGAGACTCCGTGTGCTGAAGAAGAGCATTTGGGACACCCAGAAAGCGATTCTTACTGGCTGGGTTGGTTTGTGGAATTTATTTTCTCCTGAAGCTCAGCAGAATCCCGGAATGCTTTTGGAACCACCGAGGATATTTTATTTGGATTGAAATTCAACATCTCTTAATCTTGCATGGTGGTCTGGAGGTCCTCCAGCCGTCGAAGGGACGTACCTTGAACAGGCGGTTTGTGTTAGAGCAGAGTTTACCCCACTGAAATGGGGCTGTGCCCCCTCCCCTTGTCATAAATCCTTGGCCCAGCCTGTCCTCCGTTTGGCACGCGTGGCTTTTACAGATTACTCTACGAAGTCTTGACCGAGTCCAAGGTCTCCAGTTCTACATTAGCAAGGAAAAGCCAGCTCAGCTGAGCGGATGTCAAAAGGGTCTCCCCGAAGTCAGATTGCTTTCAAGTCAGCTAGAGATGAAGCTCTGGAAACGGAAATGCGCTCAGAGGTCAGAGTTGGGTTTAAAATCTCCTGGGAGTGGAAGACCAAAGATACTGGCTCCTTGTAGGCGGGAGGTCTGCATAAAATAACCATAATTACTGGTGCTCCTCCGCTGTCTGCAGCGCGCTTTCACCTTCGTTCTGCATCGTCGTCATCGTCACCCACAATTTGGGGCTGAAAGACTTCTGCTCTGAGAAGCGTAATGCCCGGGGCAGGCGAGTCCCATCAAAATATTTGTTTTTCGGCTCGGCTTTCTAGATCTGAAGTGAAACAGGGCCTCTTCCCACTGGGAGCAGAGAAAGAAACATCAAAACAAGCCCATTGTAATCTCAGACTTGCCAAAAATAACCCCTGAGATGAATAAGGGGGAAAAAAACCCACACACAAAGCAATCTATCACAGGAACTTAAGAAGCTTGAAGGCTGGGAAGCGCGAGAGGTATTATGATGACGATTTGAGTCATTCTAACTCTCCACGGCTTACAAGATAAAGTTCAATGCAACGTCCACAGTCGGGAAAAAAGGAACCCAGTGGATAAACCCAAAGAGTGCCATCTTCTGTAAACGTCTGTAGATGAAATTAATTTCGGTTGAATATAAATGAAATTGAGCCGAGGGCCTGCCGTGGCTCGCTCATTCATTTGGAGCAGGGCTCCTCGGAACGCCACTTAAAAGCCAGGAAGGTGTTTTTGCCCTTCGTGACCTCCGAGTAACTTGTTTTTTTCTGCGAATTGGGCTATTTATGTTTTTTATTTATTGCCGGCGTTTGTCCGCCGCCCGTTTCCTCAACGTTGCTTGGAATTTCTCTGGCCGGTTTGTGGCGCTTGAAAAGGCCACGGCCAGCAGTTTTTCTGAGCTGTTGAAATCCAACAGGCTAGGAGGTTCTTGAGAGGGGAAGCCCGTAACTCTCTAGAACGGTGTTGCTCAACCTTGGCAGCTTGAAGATCTGTGGACTTCAACTCCCAGAATTCTGGGAGTTGAAGTCCACACATTTTTGAGTTGCCAAGGTTGAGAAACGCTGGTCTAGAGAAAGGGAGACATGACATTTAAAAAATGGGCCCTTCTAGAGCTGGAAGCCAAGGACTTCACAGCGGTGGGAAGCAAGCTGGGCCAGTTTGGTGGGTTGACATGGTGGATGGGGTGTTTCCTTCAATCTCCAAACATCTTTTCTAGCCCCACTGGCACCATGTGCGCTTGGTGGGTGCCTGGGTGGGCTGTAGGCTGCTTTGGGGATCAACTTTAGGATCGCTGTATGGTGACGGTGGTTTATCAAAAAGGTTGGCGTTGTCAAACCGGGAGAAGGTGACTGTTTGCTGTAGGAGGAGGTTTGTTTCATGGGGATGAGTTCAGAGTATCAACTGAGCATAGAAAGTCTTGTGGTTGGTCCTTGGTTGACTTTCCTCTTCCCCTTTTCACACGACACAGTGTGTAGTTCAGCCCTACCTCGAAAGGTATCCATGGAAGCTTTTGAGATGAAGGGGGTTGCACCTCCAGGCATTTAGAACCACCCTGGGAGAGTGTATGAATTAAGGAATGGCTTAACTGGGCAACAGAGAAGGTCTGATTCCACCTGCATCTTGATTTGGTTTAGCATGTTGGGTGAATCCAGCCATTGGGGGGGTTCAGATGATCTGCAAAACCAATCAGTCGTAGCTTATTCAAGGAAGCATGGTTGAAGCAAGCTGTGGCTGGATCTGAAATGCAGATTCAGACACAGGGTCAGGCCCAGTGGGAGGGGGAGACCGGAGTCGGAGAGTGGGGTGTCCAGACACAGGTTACAGTGGCTTGACATGAAAGCAAGAAAAGGAATAATCAAGCAGTGGAAAAAATGCTCAGATCAGGAAGGAAATCCCAACCAAGATGTTGACATCTTGAGAATATTCTGGTGCAGTTGATGTGGTTTTTACTCTAAAGATGGCAGTTAATTTTGGGGAAGTTTCTCTTTTGACCAAATGGTGGTTGACTAGGGGTTTTCCTTAGTTCTCCTTTTTTTTTCTGAGTAGTTTTGACCTGTATGGGTAAGTGTATATTTTGGAGCCTTGTGTGTGCCTCAAATTTCTCCAGACTCTCCCATATACAAGAATGAAGATGCTTCCTCAAATTGGGAGCGTCTTCTCTTATTGCATCAGGAACCCTAAGCGTCTCCAGAGAGTCTCAGTCAGTAGCTCGCCAAAACCAGAGCCCCTTTGTTTCCACTTCTGACACTGAGAAAGGAGAAAAGGTTTGGGAATAAGGTGGCTGGGAATTAAAATTTCTTATTTCCCTTGTTTTTCCAGAAGACCCCAGAAGCTAGTGTAGTTGGACAAGGATAGGTGATGTAGAGGGAATTGGGAATGGCCTTGAAGAAGGGAAGGAAGAACCAGCACCAAGGCAACGCTTAGATAAGAGGGGCTTGAGCCCAGACTAAGAAAGTAACTTGAGAAAACATCTCGGATAAGACCCTCCCTGATTCTCATGAAGATAAAGGGAGGGAGGAGGGAAGCGCAGTCAGATTTGCAAGATTATGTTACTATAACTTTACAATTAAAGTAGTGTTGGACCTACATGGCATTGGTTGCTTAGTCTGGTCTACCTTGGTGGGCTTTTGGGCTGGAGCTTGGGGAGACTTGATGGCCAGGAAAACATCTTGGCATTTCACTATATACACCAGCAATGCACAGGACAGATGTTTGTTCTAGACTTTGGCCCAGCGGTAGGCTGGGGACAGGAGAGGAAAAAAAAATGATTTGTTTTGTTCAAGGATCCTTGCTTGCTGCGACCAGACCCTTCCCTGAAAAGGCAGGGTTGAAATGCTTGAAGTGAATGGAAGGATTGACCTCAACATCTCCTTCCTTTTATGGTGGGCTGGATCTCGGAAGACAAGCTTCTAGTCCTTGTGAAATAGCACAGACTCCCAAACCTGGATGGTCATCATTCCATGCAAATCCAGACTTGTAGAAAAGTGTATTGATAACCCTTGTTGGTTTAAAAGGTTTCCCAGGGTAACTTCATAGGAGCTGGAAAGATCACGGGGGAGCTGGGTTTTCAAACTGTGTAGAGAAGATTGGTCCTTCTTGATTTCGCTCCGGGCAATGTGAGCGCTTAAAACAAACGGGGAGTTCCTAACTCTTTCTCAACACAGTTTCTTTTTTTAAATTCTATTTTCCCTTTTTATGCTTTGGTTATCAATCTCCATACAGGGCATGGTTTCCCTACAGGGTTGTTAATATGATACAATGAGGGACGATGAACAGTCTGTTATTGAGCCAGCTTAGAGTATTGAAAATAGAGAAAGGAAAGGGGGAAAAAATCTATCAATATTCATTACCATTTAGGATGCCGACGTTACAAGCGTAGAATTGTTTGGCTTTTTCATCCAAAGCAAAATATAACATTAAAAAAAGAACCATTGTAGCTCGTGTCAAAGTATTGGTTGTATGATAATGGTTTGGATCTTAAGCTCTAAACTTGGTTTCGTCCCGTCCATTGCAGGATGTGGGTCTCTTGGAATATCAGCACCATCCCAGAGAATACCCTTCCCACCTGCCCCCAGGATCTCTCTTGCACCCACAACGTCGGAGACCGTCCTTGTTATCTGAATTCCAGCCAGGGAATGAAAGGTAAGGCTAAAGAGATGGGACGTGTCCGTGATCTTGGGTTGGAGCTCTTTGGGAATCCAAGGGAAGTGTGACAACTCGGGGAGGGAAGGGGGTCCTGTAAACGGGGAACCACGTCCGATTTATCTGTTTTGGAAAAAGCAATATTTGAAGCGTTGAATATGGGGAGAGGGGAATTGTGTATGAAATTTTAAAGGGGGGGGAGAGAAAAGAAGCTTGTTTGTCACTGCTGTAAAGAAGATCAGAAGTTGCTTCTTTTTTTCTATTTTTCTTTTTTCTTTTCTGCACTGTTTCTTCTTTTTTCTTAACTCTCTGCTTGATCTTGTTCCATGTTTCTTTTATTCGCGTAAACAAATTTCAGTAAAAATGATTAAAAAAAGAAGGAAGAGGCAATATTTTCTGCTAATCTAAGGATGCGGCAATATGACAAAGCGTCTATGTTACTATGGCAGAGATGTTGTGACATTGTACAACAATATTTTGTATCGTTCCTATCACTGTAGTGAATTCCTTAAGGAACCAGCCACTATTGATAAGTATAAAACACAGGTAGTTCTCACTTAACAATCGTGTTTAGTGACTGTTCAAAGTTACAACAGTGCTAAAAAAAGTGACTTATGACTGGTGCCTGCAGTTATGACTGTCTCAGCAGCCCCCTCCCCCCCGGTCATTTGATTGTGATGCAACCAGCTCACACTTACAACGGTTGCAATGTCCTGGGGTCATGTGATCATCATTTATGACCTTCCCAGCTGGCTTCCAGCAAGCAAAATTAATGGGAAACCACGTGATTCACTTAACAGCCGTGATGATTTGCTTAACAGCCACCGCAAAAAAGGTCACAAAACTGGGTCCGATTCGCTTAACAACCACCCAGCTTAACAACCAATTTTCCAGTCCCTATTGTGGTCATTAAGCGAGGACTACCCATATAAGGTGTTTTTTTCTTTTCTAACCCGTTCTGCACGGAGATCCTTGACCCAATCTCTTTGCAGGTCACAGGAGACACACGCCCGGACGGAGACACATTCCTATCTCTCTGACCTGAGTAAACAGTCAGAAATGGAGTTCATCGAGATCAAGCGACCTCGGCTGGAACTGTTACAGGAGCCGTTGCTGAGGCCGCCAACTCTGCTCAGCCAGGGAGGCACAGAGGGTCTCTCCAGGGTAAGCTGAAAAGAGAAAGTGTCTTGGCTTGGCAGGAAGATCCAGGAGAAAAACATCCTACGCTAGTTCTCGGTGGATGTCAGCCTTCCCAGGTAGACCAAACGGGAAACACGACCAGATGAGCTAATTCTACATTACTGTAAGGCTACATTAACAGAATCTTGCAGGTCTGAAAATACAATTCACCCCCCCTCCCCGGATCTCCTTTACAGCCTGGGAAGCTAGGGAGGGTCCCTTCTGAGCCTCTTTCTCCACCCCTTGTGCAGCTGTGGGCTATGCCTTCTCTTATCAGACCATTCCCTTTGCAGCATCTCTTGGCCCCGTCTCCCAAGGTCTTTCCCACCTACCATTACAGCGGGCTGGAGTATTAGAGCATTTGATGTAGTATTTGATTGCAATATAGGGCAGCAGTTGTTTTCTTCTTCTTTTGGGTCTAACTCTAAGTGACCCGTCCTCTGTGCCTTGTGCGTGGCCCTGCCAACCTGCAGTATGAGCTGGCTGTGTCGGGCATCTGTGGGCAACACGTACTCAGGGTGACCCCCTTGCAGCATCCAGAGAACGAAGGTCCCAAATTCCTGCAGACTGCCGAGTCCCGTGGGATCCCAACGCTCTTGCATGCGACCCGACGAGATTCGGAGTGGAGCCGAGGAAATGTTCTGCTAACTTCCAAGAGTTGGGCTGTCCTGCTGGTGGTTCTGTAAATTTTATCAAGCCCTAGCCCAATGCCTCTGCATCTTGCAGGGACGCAGTGCTCGTTTGGCGTGGGGAGATGAAGGATGGAATAACTAGGGGCTGGGTGTGATGGGAGTTGTAGTGTTCGACACCTCTGGTGGACGTTAGCCTGGGAAAAGCTCCGTTAGGAAATAGCAACGGACGGTTAGCAGTAATCATCTAGATCGGTGCTCTGTCCTGGAGCCAGGCGTGTGATGAATAACTCGAGCATTTCCTTCCTGCCTCTGCAAATCTGTGCCGTTTTTAAAAGGAAAGGCTGAGGTTGGGGGAAGCTGGACCCCACTGCTTGCCCATGCTCATTGCAGGCTCGGGCTCGGGTGTGAGGGCAGCCAAAGATGGCCCATTCGATGCCCAGAAGTAACCCTGTCTTTAGCTCCATCCTCGCCCTTCTTAATTTGCCCATCCCTCTCCCCGCTACGTCTTGCAGGGTGCAAATTTCCAAACTCGCACGTTGGAAAGAGATCCCTTCTTCTCTCTTCCCCTGGACCTTCTGCAGGGGGGTTAGAAATGGTTGTGCGCATCCCATGCTCTGTTTTTCTGATGGATCATTGTGGCCGAGGTTTAAATTACCCTTGAAAGACGCTTCCTCCGTCCCCCGGTTTTCCCCATTACGGCGGCCGCTCTGTGCCTAGCGAGGCCGGCTGGTCATCTGCATAACGAGAGCCGTCCGTTGTCTTCCATCCATTCTACAAGGTGACACCTCACCCCATCCACTGAAAGAGAAACGGTTTCCTTCAGGAGTTTCCACCTCCGTAATGGGGGGGAAGAGAAAACCATTCGTCTGAGTCGGTCGGCTGAGACGTCGGCTGAAAAATGGAGCGCCTGTTTATGCCTCCGGCCGTCAGAAAGGAGACGGACGCAGGGCCAGAATCTAGAGAAGAAAACAGCATGGCAGCTGGAGGGGTCTTTCTGTTTTGCAAGTTAACCTTGCAGGGATTTGGGCCGCAGGAAGGTGGTAGGGTCAACACGTTGCGTGGAATGCTAAACCGGAAGCACATCGTGCTAAGCCTTAAGGTGACTTCTTTGCATGGTGGTTTGCATAATGCGTGTACACTCCAGGAAACAAACCATGCCCTTATTTTAGGGTAGTAAACCATCATTTCAGAGGCATTTGTTGTTGGGTTGGGAATCTTGTTGTAGCTGTAGGTCAGTGTTTCTCCACCTTAGCAAGTTTAAGATGGGTGGACTTCAACCCCCAGAATTCCCCAGCCAGCACGCCAGAAGTTGAAGTCCACCCATCTTAAACTTGCTGAGGTTAAGAAACACTGCCATAGGTTGTTCCTGTATATGGGAATCCTCCTTTTATTCCTGATTTGTCTTTGTGATAAATTCATTTTCAGGGCAAAAGAAATGCTAGGAAATGGGGGGAGGAATTAAATGTTAAAAGGGAAAAGGGCAGGATCAGTTTCCTCATTGCAAGACCTGAGTTCATACAAGCAATAAGAAATTGTGGTTTGTGTCGTTTGGGCTTTGCTTGTGGTGTGGGTAGAAACGCACTGCGTGGTTCAGGGTTGCGACGTTGTGACCCCACGCGTCTGAGCATGACTTCAGAGTTGGAATGGTCTAGTCGTGAGATCGTGTGCTCGTCCCACCAGCAGGCGGTAGGTGGCATTTGGCTAACCCTGGCGTCAGATTGCCCTTGGATGGGAGGCCACTGGAAGATCCCAGGCTTGTAATATCCCAAAGAATAAAGTACCTTCTCTATTGTGACTGAGAAAAATGCATGGATGCTCCTGCATTGGCAGGAAACCCCAAGGCAGGCTGTATCTTGAGTGGGAACCCAAGTAATTGTGTTTTTCCCCACTAACGAATCATAGAGCAGTGATTCTCAAAGGTGATCTGGGGACGCCCGAGGGTCCCTGAGACCCTTTCAGGGAGTCTGCGAAGTCAAACAAATAAATACTTTCCAGTTCCCCAATTTTAATTTCTAAGGCCATCAGTATTGATCGATAGAACCCACGTCAAGCCAATCTTTGGGGTCCTCCTTCATTTTTAAGAATGCAAAGGGGTCCCGAGACCAAAAGCCTTGAGAACCGCTGGCTTAGTGTGACAGGTGATCGATCCAGCAAAACACGGTTCAAGCCGGTCTCAGCGTTGGGGGCCCACGCAAAGAAGTAATTGCAAAGTCTCCCGGCCCCGTTGAGAGAACATGCTCTCCTGGAGCCAAATTCTTTGTACAGTTGGGACCTTGATATCCGCAGTTATGGAATTGGGAGAGGGAGGAGGTCCTGCTTGCCAAAATATGGAATAAAAGCGACTGTTTCTCCCAGGAACCCCACAAGCCTACTCCCCAGTGTTATCCTCTGTTGTGGATTAATAGCTGGAAAAATCTCTCTCCTCTCCCCCCCCCGCCTTCTTTGCCTCCCCTCCCCAAAAGGATACCCAGGAGGCAGCGTTTAAAAGACTCCTTGCAAGCAAAGGGTTTTTTCCTCCCCCCTCTCTTCCAATCCCTTTCTGAAATCCGAGGGTTTCCAAAGACTGGCCTTTCCACGTCAAAGGATAATTGGCTGAAGTGCCCATCTCAAGCGGACCTTCGTTTTGTTTCTTCAATTTGGATGGAGGCTTTGGAAATCTAATGTCCTCCCTCTGATGACGCTGGGCTGTCCATGTCCTCCCTTCTCCCCCCCTTAAAAAAAAAAACCCTTTTTTCCCATAAACAAAATTCCAGCAAAGTTTATTTTCCTTTGCTGATGTTTTCCAAGCTCTCAAGGCTGATGACGACAGCAAAGCCACAGCGGTTGACGTATTCCGCAAGCAGAGACTGTTTGCATTTTTGTCATGTGCACACACAGTTGTTTGGGAGTTAAAATATTTCTTACCTGCTCATCTCTGTTGAGCTCCTGGCACAATCCAGTTGGTGAAACAAATGTCAGGCACATTGTCACAGCAGCCGTTTAAATCCAAATAAATCGATAAACCAAACACAACGCTCTATTTTTATATATATGTGTGTTATTAAAAGCTTTACAAGAACATAAAAACTAACACAAACTAATAAAGAGAAGGAAGGAAGGAAGGAAGGAAGGAAGGAAGGAAGGAAGGACGGAAGGAGAGAG